GTATCTTTGTCTGGCTTTGGGATTAGGATGATGCTGGCCACATAAAAAGAGTTTGGGAGTCTTCCTTCTTAGATTTTTTGGAATAGTCTGAGAGGATAGGGGTTATCTCTTCTTTAAATGTTTTGTGAAATTCTCCTGTGAAACCATCTGGTCCAGGGCTTTTGTGTGATGTGAGTTTTTTAATTACTGCTTCAATTTCACTAGCTATTATCAGTCTGTTCAGGTTTTTGCCTTTTCTTGATTAAGTTTGGCAATATTTTATTTTTCTAGAAATTTGTTCATTTCACCTAAATTTTCAAATTTCTGGGCATATAGTTGTTCATAGTAATCTCATACAACCTTTTGTATTTCTGTGGTATGAGTTGTAATTGGCCCTCTTTCATTTCTGATTTTATTTATTTAGGTCATCTCCCTATTTTGCTTGATGAATCTTGTTAAAAAAATTGTCAATTTTGTTTATTGTTTCAAAGAATGAGCTCCTGGATTTATTGATCCTTTGAATTGTTCTTTTAGCCTCTATCTATGTCATTTAATTCTGCTCTGATCGTGATTATTTTCTTCCTTCTACTCATTCTGGGCTTTGTTTGTTGTTTCTCCAGTTCTTGTAGGTGTAGGGTTAGATTTGAAATGTTTCTATCTTTCTTAGGTAGGCCTGTATTGCTATGAACTTCCCTCTGAAGACTGCCTTTGCTGTGTCCCATAGGTTTTGGGCTGTTGTGTGTTTGTTTTCATTTGTTTCCAGAATTTTTTTTAGTTCTTCTTTGACCTAATTATTAACCCATTTATTGTTTATTAGCATTCTATTCATTCTCCATGAGATTAAATATTTTTGAGTTTTTCCCTTGAGGTTGGTTTCTAGTTTCAAGTCCTTATGGTCTGGTAAAATGTTTGATATGATTCCAGTTTTCTTGAATTTGTTGAGACTTGTTTTGTGTCCTATCATGTGGTCTATGTTTGAAAATGTTCCATGTGCATTTGAAAATAATGTGTATTTTGCTTCTTTGGGAATTCAGGTTCTTTATATATATATCAGTTAAATTAATTTGATCTAATGTGTCATTCAGGTCCACAATATCCTTGTTCATGTTTTTTTTGGAAGATCTGTCCATTGTTGACAGTGGGGTGTTAAAATTCACAACTATAAGTATGTTGCTGTTATATCTTTCTTGAAGTCCTTCAAGATTTTCCTTATACATATGGATGCTCCTATATTGGGTGCCTATATATTTACAATATTTATGTCCTGATGGATTCTTGCTTTGGGTAATATAAAGTGTGGGTATTAGGGCCTTTGTTTTGAAGTCTGTTTTGTCTGATGTATTACTACCCAGGCTTTTTTTCCTGTTCATTTGCTTCAAATATTTTTTCCAACCTTTCACTTTCAGTCTGTGTAGGTCTTTTGTTCTGAGGTGGGTCTCTTGTAGGCAGCATATGTGTGGGCCATGTTTTCTTATCCATTGAGCTACCCTATGTCTATTGATTGGAGCATTTAATCCATTTACATTGAAGGTTATTATTGATAGATACTTGTTCATTTTTCCTCTTTGTACCCTACCTACAACCAACAAGTGAAGGGTGATGAAGGTGGAAAGAGTATGTGGTTATTTTAAGAGTGGGGTAGAAGGATGTGAGATGACCATTGACAAGAAAATTTGTTCTGTGTCTGGATGGGGGAGAATTATAAGAGTGCAGAATGGAAACAAGTTGTAGCAAGAGAGAAAATTTGAAATGAAAATAATGAGAGGAAAGAAGAAGGTAAAATGGAGTAAGAGAAGGGAGTGGCAAAATATGTAAATTGAAATAAACTCTAGTATAAAAGGTAGTGATGTAATATGCACAAAGTGGCTGGACAAGAAATGAATGTTAAAAAGCTAAGTAGAGAAGAAAGTATCACAAATCATGGAGAAGACCACAGTGGATTTCATCTCTGTAGCCTCTAGTATTTACCAGTGTAGAAATTCTTTCTGGATCTGCTTCTGGTGATGTCAGATGTTGACCCTGTGTGACTTTAGGCAGCCAGTTCAAGACTTTTGGGGATCTACTGTCTGTGGCTGTCTCCTTAGGTTGTTAATCTACTCAGTCTGCACACAGTAATCAGGATTATGTACTGTAGGGCAGGGCAGAATCTATCCTGGGGTCGGGGTTATTGTTTCCCCTCAGGCTGCTGCTGCTGCTCAGAGGGGAGTGATCTGCCTGAACATGATGGCTGCTGCCATATGGGGGATGATTTAGCACCAGAATCCCAGTGCCTACTCTCTCAGTTTTCTCCCTAAGGCTTCTGCCCCCAGTCTCTCCTCAGAGGTCTCCAGCCCACTCTGCTGCTGCCTTTGCCAGAGCTCAGGATAAGTGGCTGCAAATGAAAATTTGTACATTAGGCCTTTAAACAGCCCTTTGCATCTCCAGCTGTCCATCTCTGGCAGGGAGTAACACTGCCGCTTTTCTGTGCTGGTTGTTATCTGTGTCCTTTTGGGGCTCTGGTGCTCTAGGCTGGGGGTCCCAGCTTAGGGTTTAGACCCCATTCTTATCAGGAGAATCCAACTGGTTGCTTAATTATCTCTCTAGTGCTGCTGCCTGTGGGTGCCCAGCCAGCTCTCTTAAGTCTCCACTGCACTCCTTACAGTCAGGTTGTGCTGAAGCTGATTATTCTGTCTATCCAAGGTTATAAGGCTTCTCTCTCACTATTGCTCAGTTGTTTGCTCCAAATGATTTCTCCACAATTTAATTGTAATTTCAGATTGGTTCTGGAAGGAGGTTCATGTGACTTCTATTCACTCCTCCACCATCTTCCTCCTAATTTCTACTTTTAAGCCTAAATCATTGTGTGCAGATCCATCTTCCTAGAATACATATACTAGTTCTTGTTTTTATGAAATTCCACTTATATCCTTTATAGCACAGTGTGTACATCATTAATTGGTCAGGCTCCAGCCCAAGCTGGTTTCTCTCTGTAATGTACTTCTATAGGACTTGGTATGGTTTTCAGTTGTTGCATTAAGCACATTGCAAAATTAACATTTATTCATATGTTATTCTCCCATGTTGGATTCTTGAAGTGGTCTTTAATGCAGAGATGAATCTCACCAAGCTTAATCTATTTGATAATTAAATAAATAAGGGAATAAAAATGCCTTTTAATCATTTATTAAACACTTAATTGCCTCCTTGGAATTTTTTATTTCTATTATTTTTAGAGAGGGAAAAGGAGGAGAGAAACATCAATGTGTAAGAGAGACATCAATTGGTTGACTCCCTCACATGTCCTAAATGGGGACTGGGCCTGTAATCCAAGCATGTGCCCTGACCAGTAATTGAACCTGGGACCCTTCCATCTGTGGGAAGATGCCCAACCAACTGAGCCACACTGGTCAAGGCCAAGTCCCTACTTCTGTAGCCTCTATACCATTAGAACTCAAAGCAGTGGTTATTTATTTAACTATTTATTTATTCATTTATAGACAGGGAAAGGGGAGAGAGAAAGAGAGGGAGAGAACATAATGTGAGAGAGAAACATGGATTGATTGCCTATCATATATGCCCTAACTAGGAACCAACCCTGCAACCCAGGCATGTGGCCCTGACCCAGAACTGAATAGGCAACCTTTCACTTTGTAGTGTGATGCCCAACCCACTGAGCCACACTGGTCAGGGCAATAATCTTCAAATTTAAAAGGATTTTGCAAAACTGTGTTCCTCTGAGACATTTTTAAGTTGACATAAATTTTTCAACCTAAGTTTAAATAGTGACAAAAGATGTAATTCTGGTTTATTATATATCTGTTAAATGGGTTTTTGTCAGAACTTCAGAGGTGCATTCTTAGTTTATTCAATTTATAGAAAATAAATGAATTTATGAAGTCATTTCTCACTGTCAAGCCAATCAACTTCCTTTACCTTACCTTTTTCAACAGCATGGAGCAACCTGGAGACTATTATGCTAAGTGAAATAAGCTAGTCAGTGAAAGGCATACCATATGGTCTCACTTACATATAGAATCTAATGAACTAAATAAACTGACAAAAATAGAAACAGAGACATGGATACATGGAACGAAGTGATAGCTGCCAGAGGGGAAGGGAGAGGGAGGACTGGATGAAAGGTGAAGGGATTAGCCAAAGAACATACATGCATGACCCATAGACACAGACAACGGTATGGTGATGGCCAGAGGGAAGGGAAGTTGGGAGCTGGGTGGAGGTGGGCAAAGGGGGTGAGAATGGGGACATCTGAAATAGTGTGAACAGTAAAATAAATAAAGTAAAAAAAAAGAAAATGTGTAACTTTACAGTTAAAATACAAATAGTTAATATATAATTAACTATTGAAAATTAAGTAATCAAATAAGTAATTAAAATGCCTTATCCTTCAACTCTTTTCTGAAATCTATTGTGAGCTAGTTAAGACACAATTGACTGCCTTCTTGGGTAAATGGGATTTAGTCAAATCATCTGGCAATGTTTTCGAGTTTATGTTTAGTAATAAGCACTTAAAGAAATAATTTCATCTTTTCAGAGGAAGGTACTACCAAGATGACAGAGTAGAAGTCAGATTTAGGTTGTAATTCAACTCTGGCCTATTAGTTATGTGACTTTAGTCACTTAACCTCTCTAAATCACAGTCTATAGCTTTGAAGGAAAGGGATTATCAAATCTTACATCATATATTATCATTATGCTGAGGATTAAATAATAATGTTTATGTATCCAGTCTATAGGAAAAGAGGAATATGTAAATTATACTTATATAGGTAGATAGGTATCTTTAATTTAATTTGATGGCAAGCAACAATCTAAGAAATTAAAACCATGTTTTTATTAAATGCTATAATTATAATTTTTCAAATGTTTTGGATCATATGCTCTGGAAATCATGGGCTACATAATTATATGCTACAATGTATGGATAATGATCCATGTGCTTTTCAAGCTCATCATATATAAGATAAGTAACTATTGAAAATATCTGGAAAGCCTACTTTTTAATTTTCTATGTTTTCTTACAGGGATTTGGGGAATTATTTGAGAATGCAAAACAAAACAATAAAAGTAGAAACATTTCCAATAGTGATAACAACCTCTTCTTCAGTAACTTCTCACTTCTTGGTACTCCCGTCCTGAAAGATATCAATTTCCAGATAGAAAGAGGACAGTTGTTGGCGATTGCTGGATCTACTGGAGCAGGCAAGGTAGTCTCTTTTATTCCTCACCATTAGGATCTTGCATACATTTCTACTTTCCCTTTTTTCATTTGTCTGTAGTGTCAAAAGGTATTTTGGAGAAATTCTTATATTGGTATTAGGAGAATGCTTGCATAATGATTCCACTGATAATATCCTGTAGCCCTTATTTCTTAATATTATATCCAGTGACTCTTTCTCCTACATTTTTAAATTTTATATTGCACTTAGCACAGTGTCTTGGACATGGTGAGCATTCAATAACTTTATTGAGCAAATGAACCATTCACATTATGAGTCTATGGCATATACATTTTTTCAGAACTGGTCCAGGGAAATCATGGCTCAGATTTTACCTCTGTAACCACATTGGCAAAAGGTCTCCATTTTGTTGATATTAGAATTTTGGAGAATGGGCTCAGATTTGCTTATGACTTATTAAGAGAACAATTACTGAGTGGGATAGTTTTTTAAAGGAGATACACGGGAATGTTAATTTATTCAGTGCTGGTCATCCTGCCCGCCCATCTCCACCCCAAATATACACACTCCATATAACTTTTTGTCGTAAGTTAGAAAATGAGAACAGCTAAGGCTTAAAGCTCATTGTAAGGAGAAGAGAAGACTTTATAGTGAGTAATCTTCAAGGATGTGAGCTATTATTCAGATAATGGTAAAACACTTGTTCTCTTTATGAAATAAATTTAAAGCACATGAAGGAATCAAATTAGAGATGCAAATCAGAACTGCAAATTTATTAAACATCTTTGGGAAAATTGTGTGTTTTTTATTCTAATCTACATTAAGTATCTTTCATTTAGGAAGTGTACTTAAATTATTTTAATTAAGCAATATTGATATCAGAATCTGCACCACTGGGTACTGAAGGCTGGCTTGCCACATCTCCCTCAGGGTGTGGGGATTTTCAGTTCTTCTGTATCCCCATCACAACTGAAACAGTTCTGTGGCTTTGCTGACAACCCCCAACACCACATGGTCTCCATCATTCATCCTGACCATGCTCTGGTACTAAGCTTTAGCTTGATTATAAAAACTGAGAATTAGCCTTGGCTGTAGCTCAGTGGATTGAGCATGGGCCTGTGAACCAGACAATAGCAGTTCAATTCCCGGTCAGGGCACATGCCTGGGTAGCAGGGCAGTTCCCTGCAGGCCAGTTCCCTGCAGACCAGTTCCCAGCAGGGGACACACAAAAGGCAACCATACATTGATGTTTCTCTCCCTCTCTCCTTCCCTTCCCCTCTAAAGATAAATAAATAAAATCTTTAAAAAAAAAACCCAAAAAACTGAGAATTAGATGTCTAGAATAGCTGTTAGCTTCTGCTTTTGCTAATTTAAAAAATAAAATACATTGTCTTTAAAGTTTAATTAATATTTTTGTATTTTATATATATTTATATATTTAACGATGTTTTCATTTAACTTCATATCTCTCAAAATACCAAAATATTGATAACTATGTATAAATATATAAATTACATATTTATTTTTATATCTGTATATGTAAGTATGTACATATATATTAATGTGTTTTTAGTGTAAAATGTTATAATTTAATAATATTGATACATTATATTAAATTATAAGGGCTCAAAAATTTTTTTGAAGTAAATTACTGGTAATAAATAAATAGATGAATCAGTAGAATAGAATTAAAGCTACAAAAATCAATCCAAATGCATAAAGTAATTCATATTTGGTAAAAGTAGCATCTAAAATCAGTGAGGAAAAATGGATTAATAAATGGTACTGGACAACTGGACAGCTACTTGAAGGCAAACAAAAAATTGTATCCTAGTCTCACATCATAAGCCCGATGAATTTGAAATAGATTAAACAATAAGTACAAAAATGGTAGAATGCTTAAAGAAAACATTGGAGGAGGCATAAATGAAAAGGAAAAAAAAACACATAACCATGGAGGAAGAAAGCCTTTCTATGACTGAAAGTCCAAAAGCCATAAATAAAAAATAGATTAAACCACATTAAAAAATATGTGTATGCAGAAAACAAAAAGAAAAAATGTCACACTGAGGTAAATATGTGCAATTTATATTGCACAAAGGACTGATCTCTCTTTAAATAAAGTGAACCTAAAATTAAAAAACACCATACAAGCAACCAGTTAGAAAGACGTATACATATGTGAACAGATATTACACCAAAAATGAAAATAGAAGTGGCCTTTAACATATGAAAAGATACTGTATTTTATTCACCATAATAAGAGATTATGTAAATGAACTTTGATAGAGCTACTTTGAGAATAGATTGTAGGAAATCAAGGGCAGAAGCAAGGGGATGAGTTAAAAGGCTATTGTGCTAATCCAGTGTTGGCCTAATTCTTGTAGTAGTAGAAGTAATAGATTCAGGACATGCTTCCAAGAAAGACACAATGGATTAGAGAGATTAAACATGTTATCTGAGAAAAATGGAACACTCAAGGGTAAGTCCAAGGTTTTTGGGCTGAGTGACTGGTAGGGTGAACGTTCCATTTATTGAGAATGTTATGGGAGAAACAGGTTTTGGTTACAGATTGATTTTGGAATGTTAACTTTAAGATACCTATTTGACATCCAAACAGAGATGTTATTTGGATACATCTCATTTCAAGGAAGTGGGGGCCCACAGTGTAAAAGATATGGGGCTAGATGAGATTCCAAGGGAGAGAATGTTGATAAGAAGAGAAAGCAGCCAACGTATGAGCCCAAGGGCATTCTAACTTTTAGAGGTTAGGGATGTATTTTTTTCCAGTGGTTATATTTATAATAATAATTTTATGTTGCATCTTTGGTCATCTACTTTTCAGTTCACTACAAGTGTAGTGAAGTGCTACACTTCAAAACAGAAGTGCTTAATAAATTTTGAATCGAATGAATTAATATATAAACTTTCAGAATCAGAATAGATACCTTTATTTAGGAGGACATTTGGAAGCAAGAGCATTCTGAGAATGATTTGACCAAATAATTTAACTTAATAACAATGGTTTTATTTCTAGACCTCACTTTTAATGATGCTCATGGGAGAGCTGGAGCCTTCTGAGGGTAAAATTAAGCACAGTGGAAGAATTTCATTCTGCTCTCAGTTTTCATGGATCATGCCTGGCACCATTAAAGAAAACATTATCTTTGGTGTTTGCTATGATGAGTATAGATATAGGAGTGTCATCAAAGCATGCCAGCTAGAAGAGGTAAGTAATTATGTGAAAATTTTCTGATTATACATATGAAACCTTCAAACTGCCTAAATTATATATTGAGCTTCCTATTTAATAAGTCAGTCTACATATATTAATCATGTTTTTATAAAAACATAAAGAAAGTATATTTTATTTTTTAAATAATGAACTTATTTGGTTAAAACAAAAACTCTTTATGAAATGGTAAGAATTTTGTTCATTCGTTCATGAGAAAATGTCTTCAATTGACATTTATATGGCATGTACTTTAAAACAGATATTTCTAAATTACATAAGAGGATTTTAATAATTTTAAGATCATCATAGTCTAATGGAATGAGTGTTGCCTTGTCAGTAGAGAATCAGAGATAAACTTGTGATTTTATCTTATTGTTTGACCTTCAACATATAACTATATCATCTCTAATGACTGTAATTGTCTGAAATGGTATTTAAATGAAGATGAAGCTGTTGACTTATTTCACAATATTGTGGAATGGGCTAATTATTTGGAAATACATGAAGTATTTCAAGCGAAGTCAGTATCTGGATCTTGTGCTATCTGACACATAAATTATAGGATGGAAACTTCAATAATTATTGATGTAAATAATTATAGGGAATATATCATTATGAGGTTTTCAGAGTATTTCCTGAATAGTGATCTTCATTCAAAATCACTTGTATGATGGATGGCATTTGACAGTGGTAGATTCCTTTCAGTTACTTTAAATGAAAAAAAATGCACTGGGGATAAAATAAAGCAGAACGCAGTGTATGGAAAGTAGAACACAGCTAATTGTGTAATAGATAGAAACTGCAATTTTTACAAAAGAGGACTACATGCTTGCATAAATGGCTTTCTGTATATATGTGGACTCATTCAACAGTTTTTAAAAATTCTATTCTTTTGTTTTCCATACAACCTGAAAGTATAATGAAAATAAAAACTGTCTTGAAAAAGTATTAGATTTACTTTGAAGAAGATATTCTTCATTCCTCAAAAGCCCTTCTTCCAGGAAGAGTATTTTACAACCTGGAGGGTGGAACACTCAGTAGATTTGTCATAAAAAGTCTGAGTGTTCCTAGAGAACACAGATATTTGTGTGTGAGGGTACTGAGATGTAGATGTGGTAGTGCCTTGCAAAATAAATCATGAGATTTATTTATTAGTGGAAAGGTGTTAGAAGGTTTCTGGTAGGCTTATATTTTGCTTTCAATATAGCTTTTCCCATAGAAATAATATTATTGTGGTGGTTTGATTCCCCCAAGTAAGCCTATACAATTATATTTAACCCAAATATGGCATAGTTAAAATACTAGTAATAAATCAGAGCTAACAGTCCCTTATTCATATAATGAGCACATACTCAATTCTGAATACTGTGCTAGGTAGGTCTCGGAAGTGCCAAGTTGAATAAGACATGGGCCATTTTCTAAAAGGTTCATAGTACCTGTGTTTTAATGAATAATTGTGTAGTATGTGAGTTATATTTCCATAAAGCTGTTAAAATAAGGAAAAAAAGATGATATGAGGAAGAACTTATTATTGATTTTTTCTGACTCCATGGTCAGCTTTAACATGATTTTTAAAATGCATAATTCAGTGCTTTTTATTATATTCCAGGGTTGAACAATCACCACCACATTTTCAATCACTTTAAAAGAAACCCCATTAGCAATTGATTTTTATTTCTTCATACGTCCTTCACCATCCTTAAGCAACTTTCAGTCTCTAAAGTTTTTCTATTTTGGATATTTCATGTAAATAGAATCATGTAATGTATGGTCCTTTGTGCCTAATTAAACTTTTAAACTAGAAGAAGGCAATATCTTTATTTTGAGAACATTTACTGAGACTTGATAAAAATATAAATAAAACAAGGTCCGTATACTTCAGAGGTTCATGGACCAGTAGGAGAAAGAAACATTTCAATAAAAAATGTAATCTAATAGAAAAAGAAAGAGGCATTTCTATAGGAGTAAAAGGAGAAAGCATGGGAATCAATCTGTTTTTTTTCTAATGGAAGGAATCACCTCCAGAGAAAGCAGAAGGCTAGTGACTATGGAATTCCAGTGGTGACAAGGGTGAAAATTATGGCCTTGTAAGAATTTTTTTATTAAGAACATTAGAGATTCCAGTAGAGAGATGATTGAGTTAATGGGAAAAAGTGGGATATTGATGAGTGAATGGTCACTGTATTATTGACAAGAGAAAATGAAATAATGAATACAAGGTGCCTAACACAGCATGTAGTACAAGTTAGTCACTCAGTAACTATTAGCTCATTTCTACTACCTTTATTTACTAGTATTTTAATTTTATTTTTTAATTGTGGTTTACATTCAATATTATTTTGTATTAGTTTCAAGTGTATTCACCTTTTTCACCAGGTCCCACCCCTCCTCCCCTCTGGCAATCATTAGTTTTTTCTACTATCTTTTGAGGTGGAGAATACTGTTACAGAGCATGACATAGGATATATGTGACTGAGAGTTAGTTCTCGTTAGTAAGTGACTACTATGGAAACAAGCTGGAGGTTGGTGTAATTAAGCAGGAGAACCATGAAGCTAAAAAGTAATGGAAAACCATCAAAATAAATTTTGATGTTGACCAAGTAGTTATAAGAGAAAGTTGTAAAAGTGGTCATCTATAAATATGGTAGTTGGTCTTCATGACCCAATCAACAAACCTTGGAGTATTCTGTGGAAGAAGACAGATGGCATTGATCCTAAAGGTTTAGAACATAGGCACATGGGTTCTAGACTCCAGAAATGGTTGCGGGGTTGGGAGATGATTCCAGTGCCCATGTCCCTTTCAGACCCCGAACAGTACTATGAGACTACCTTATGCCAGACACTGTTCACTGTGGTGGGAACAAGGTGAGTACAAAATGAAAAACTTTTTTGTCCCTTTCCTCACAGAATTTATAGGTTAGTTAGAGGAAAACATACGTAAAGAAACCACTTCAATATAATATAGCAAGTATTGGGTCAGAGATACTCTCAGGGTGGTATGAGAGCCCAGTTGAGGGCTTTTAGTGAGCCTGGACAGTTCTGGGAAGCTTTCTGTAAAAAACGGACACTTGGAAGGATGAGTAAAGGTGGAAAATGTTCAGATCAGAGGAAAAAGTATGGGCAGAGAAATGGGACATAAGACCACTCATTTAGTACAAGGGACCACAAGACTCTTGATAGGATTGTAGTATGACTGGGGGCAGTGACCAGGGAGTAATAAAGCTGGAAGGCCATATTTTGGGAGTCTTGTCTAACAGTCTCAGAAATTTGGTCTTGAGTAGCTTTAAATAGAAGTACTATTCAATCAGCTTTGCATTTTAGGTATATCTCTTTGGTTGTAATATGAGGAGCAGAATTAAGGTGGACATGATTTAAAGCTTCATGGAATAGCAGGAAGAACATAAATTTTGAAATCTGACAGGGCTGGGTTACTAAAGAAAGTTATTTACCCTTGCTGAGTGCTGAGTTTTATACTCTGCAATATGGGAATAATATTACCTACTTTGTAGGGTTTCTATATGTTTCTGGCACATGTAAAGTATTAATATTAGTAGTAATGGTAGCACTATTTGCTATTCTGACTAGAAGAAGTGACACTAATAGCTACTTCAGTAATCCAGATAATGGTCATGATGAATGAGAAGAGACAAAAGGTAAGCAGAGGAATTGTGAGAATATTAAAAAAATCATCTTTATGTACTTAATATTTGCATTAGTAGGAAAGGGAATCAGGAATGAAATGGGCCTACTGAGTAATTAGAAGAGGAGAGAAATGGGTTTAAGATTAAGGGTTCCTTGAACAACAGGAATTGGAAAGAGGGACAGGTAGAAATGCTGTGAGTTTAGGAAGGTAGGACATGGAGCTGGATTAGATAGAACTGAGATACCTCACCAAGGCAGAAAGATCATAGGTCTCACTAACACAGTGCCAAATGCAGAACCCCATCAAGTGGGCTTTAACGAAAAATTATTAGTAACAATGATGACCTCCATTTTTTTATGTAAAATAAAACACAGCATTTAATTTCTAACACTCTGTCTTGCTGACTTTTGCATGATCTTTTAGTCATCTTATGATAGGCAAAAGCATTCAGGATTTCCTTAAATTCCTTGTACTTTAAACTGGCAAATGTAGCGAGTACAGAATATATTAGTATATTCTGTTTGGTCCTCTTTCCTGAACATTTCCTATATGTTGTTATCTATCAAATGGCATGATAAATTTCTTGAGAACAGCAATTTAAAAAATTTATATTGGTATACTTCACCTAGCACATTGATATGCAGAAAGTTAAATTCTTACTCAATGACTTTCAGAAATATTTTGAAGTAGGCATGTCAGTTGCAAGAATTTTGTGAAAAAAGTGTTCTCTGAGGCTCACAGTCTAAGAGTTTGAGGAGACATTACATGACAGCATATTATTGCTGGGAATGGCAAATAAAAGTAATCAAAAGTGTCAATTATGTTCATAGTCAAAATGAAGTTTCCTCTATTTTCAGTGACTTTAGAGTTGCCAATTTTGGTGTTTTTGTTGCTGTTATTGTTAAACAGGTGTTCACACCTTTGAAAAAGCCCAGTAAAAACTTTCCAAAATGAAAGTTTTATTTTATTTTTTAAAAGATTTTATTTATTTCTCTTTAGAGGGGAAGGGAAGGAGAGAGGGAGAGAAATATCAATGTATGATTGCCTCTCATGCGTCCCCTGATGGGAACTGGCCTGCAACCCAGGCATGTGCCCTGACTGAGAATCAAACTGCGATCCTTTGGTTCGCAGACCTCTGCTCAATCCACTGAGCTACAGCAACCAGGGTGAAAGTTTTATTTTTTTAAGTGAGGAGGAGCTCTGAACATAGGAACATGAAATACCTACAGCTATCGCCAGCAGAAGAATCCCTTGCTTTCTTTCTCTATGTGGCCCCTGTCACTAAATATAAACATTCATGACTCAATATGTTTTCATTCTGACTGCCAAAGTTGATCTGTTTTTTTAATGT